GTCTGGCAGCAGCCTGGGGCTCTCTGCTCCTTTTATTTTCCCTGTCCAGCCTTAGAGAGGACAAACACTGCCTGTGTCACACAGAATCCCTGTCCCAGCTCAGCCACCTTCCAGCAGGGGGATGCTGAGGAGGAGCAGAGCCAGCCCTGGCCTGGAAGCTGCTGCCAGAAAAGATTATTAAGCCCCTGTAGAAATTTCCTCTGCAATACAGATTTTTTTTTTTTTTGACTGGCATTAGAGCTGAGAGGGAATTACTGAGGAAGAGCCATGGGGGAGAAGCAGGGAGGGGGGGGAAGCGCCTGACTGCTCCATTGAGGGGTTTAACTCACTGTAAGGTGATCCCAGGGCTCCTGTTCCAGCAAAACCGGCATTCCCAGGAAGGCACCGTGCTTAATCCAGCTGAAACAGAGCCCTGGCAATCAGCCCGTGCTTTGGCAAACTCCTGGTGATCCAGCAGCTGCTGGAAGGTGGCACTTGTGCTGCTGCACTCCATTGGGTGGCTGCCTCTAAATCCTGGGATTTCTTCCCCACCACTGAGGATTCTTTTATCTTCTTTGGCCCCTCAGCAAGCAGGCTCAGGCTGCACTTGGGGTGTTGTTTGTGGGATGGATGTGGAAGGGTTCCCAAGGGATTCCAAGGGTTCCCAAGGGATTCCAAGGGTTCCCAAGGGTTCCCAAGGGTTCCCAAGGGTTTCTGGGTCCTGCAGAGCCTGCAAGGACAGCCCTGGCAGTGAGGGCTCTCCAGCTCTGTCCTGTGGCAGGGTGGATGGATGGGGTGGGATGGGCTGAGATCCCAGGGTGCCTGCATGGATCACACGTGGTGGGATGGGGCTGGATGGGAGCATGGAGAGGATGGGCCCTGTTTGGGGACAGAGGGACACGTGTGTGGTGGCTGTTGGAGTTGTGGGTTCTCCCCCAGCTCACTGAGGTGTTTCTCCTCCAGCTTCCCAAGATCCCTCATGTCCTCCTTGTCAGGGCCCCAGGACTTGGATCAGCCTCCCCTGTATTCCATTCCTGGAAGCCTCGGCCGTGCCAGTGACCTTGATGGAATCTCTGTCCCCGCTTTCCCTCGGGCTGTGCTTGCTGTGGTGGGGGCTGCACGACCCCCGGCTTCTGCNGATCCCTGGCAGTGCC